CCACGGGCCACACCAAATTCACGGGACTGCAAGCGGACCTCAGCCTCACTGGGTTCCAAGGCAGACGCCCCAACCCCCCCACCCCATGCCTCTGCTTCCAGGGGGCCCAGGGCGAACGCCCCCCCCCCCCCCCGCCGACACAATTTGAGTGAAATGAGTAAAAAAACATTAGCTTTAAGTGTACATACATACTTAGGAGTAAAATATTTTTTCTTTCTTTACAAAGTAAAAACCACGTAACCAGTCAAGCATCAATCATGGCCAAAAGTTTACACGCCGAACAACGCTCAGCTGTTCGAGACACCCGATATGAAGCAAGAAGCTCCTCGCTCTCCGGCCCCGCGCCGAGAGTCAGCGACCTTCCCGCCAGCTGACCGACTCGTATAACGCCGGCGACAACCGCCGAGCGTTCCCCAGCGTCATATTTCACTTTCCTTCTTTTACTGTACAGTTAAATCCTTGTAATAAGACCCAATGTTTAGATTTAAGAATGACAGTAGCAGGTTAATGCTCCCAAAAGGACGGGCATAATGACTGATAACCAAATTTCTTTTTTCCTAATCACACTTCCCCAGTCTCTACAAAAACAGACTCCAGCGTTTGCCCGTTGCTTCCAAAACTCTCGACCTCCCAGTGACCCACTGCGGATAATGAGGTCATTATCCTGTGTCGTTGTAGGGGGAGTATAACGGAATATTGGAGTTACGGCGGTTTTGGAAGCAGCGGGCTAATATTGCGCCGCGAGATCGGTGGATCCGCGAGGTTTTCATGACACAGCTTGTCGCGTCCGGTAGTGACATCGCCCGGTGACATCACTAGACAGGCCGCTGCCATATAGTCCGAGAAACCTTACTATTTCATACACCTCTGCCTCGGGCGCCGGGCGACCGGAGTCCACGGGGTGGCAACCTAACCAGTTGCTTTCCGGGGATTTCGGAGTCCTGACGGATGCGACATGCATGGTCAGGGGTTTTCGGCGAGCTAACCGTGGGAATCAGCGGCCTGGGGACCCATCCGCTGGCCTGCTGAAGCCTCCTGAATTCAGTCGTCTCGCCAACCGTGCCTACGCCTCCTCGCGGACCCCCGACGCGCGTCTCACCCCGTAGTCAAGTCCTCGAGTATCCCTCGGCCGAAAGTTGTGGTCCTACGGTCCGTCCCCGACCCTCCTTTCGCCCCAGCGGCCTTTCACCCCCGTTCTGAGTCCTTGACTCCTCAAGTTGCCCCGTCCCGCGTCTCACCCCGGTGATTGAGCTTTGAGTATCCCTCCCCTCGCCGAAAGTCCCGTCCGGCATCCCCGACGGCTCTTCCTGCTTGGAGACAGTAGGGTGAAAATGGCGACTTGAGCACAAAAGTTTTTAGCCAAATTGTGCAGAAAAATATGAATTAAATTACAGCGTTGTATAGGGATTATTGTTCAATATGGCAACGCTGTAAAAAGAAAGTATTGCATGTTGCCCCTTCAATATGCGGGTTATGCAATCGTGTATGAATGCCCCTTCATTTTTCGGGTTATGCAATGGTGTATTTTTCAAGATGGCGCAGCAGCGTTGCCGCGTGGTGCATGTAAATAAATGATTTATTTATTGGTGAAATTTTGCAACATTGCATTTTACAGTGTTGCCAGATGGGGCGAGAAATTAGTTGATTTTTCCGTACACTGTTGCCAGATTGTGCAATAAATTCGGATTTTCGGACTTGTAAAATTTTTTGGTTTTGAGAGACCGTATCTTGCAGTATGGGTCGGTATCAGATACTGTAGATTAGGGTCTGATTCAGGAAATTGGAAAATTTTCGGAAAATCACCCTCGTCCGATCCGGCGCGGACCGATGCGATTCTTTTACGCTATCGAATTTCGATACGAGTTTTGGTTTTCGAGATTTCGGACTTGTAAAATTTTCGGCTTCGGAAGACCGTATCTTACAGTATGGGCCTGGTATCTGATACTGGAGATTAGGGTCTGATTCGGGAATTGGATTTTCGGACTTGTAAAAATTTTCGATTTCGAAAGACCGTATCTTACAGTATGGACCTGGTATCGGATACTGGAGAGTAGGGTCTGATTCCGGAAATTGAAATTTCGGACTTGTAAAATTTTGACGGCATCCACGATAGACCATATCCTACAGTATGGACCTGGTATCGGATACTGGAGTGTAGGGTCTGATTCCGGAAATTGGAATTTCGGACTTGTAAAAATTTTC